ATATTCATCCCGTCGCCCATATTTACAAACATGTACGCTCTATACAAACACCGAGGTTTGCTCATACTTGAAATATCATGCTTCCATCTGGTGTTAAAAATACAAGCCACATTTGTGCAAATACATCACGTAATTAAAGTGCTACGTTCACAAAGTTCTTTTGAACTCTTTCAAACATATATTTAGAGATTAAAATTTATGAAGTCATGGACTGTCGTAAATAGAACCTTATGTTTATTTTTCAAAGTAAATTCTAAAAAATGCACTCGTTTTGAACCTTAGTGTTTGTGAAACGAGGTCGACGGTGAATGGATTCTATATCCATCTAACAGCAGTAATCACGTGACTGTACGGTTGATTGACAATGTAAGGTTGTACATATACAAGTACAGACGTTATGTATTGTAAAAAACACCCGTTTATGATATCTGTATAATATGTCACACTGTCAATATCTAGTCGAGAGCTAGTCATGACAGTTTATTGATTTGTATATAATAGTTATGGTAATAGCAAAAGTTATTGATTTGTATATAATAGTTATGGTAATAGCAAAAGTGTTGTAGTGTTTTGTTACTATTAAAATCATATGAATATATGCTGAATAAATATACAATTTTAGACATTTGAGACTATGTTATCAAGCATATATCCTTGCGTAGTCATTCCCTGGTGGCGGGGCGGTGTGGTGGCCCAGTGGTTAAAGCGTTCGCTGGTCACGCTGAACACCCGGGTTCAATTCCCTCACATGGGTACAATGTGTGAAGCCCATTTCTGGTGTCCCCCGCCGTGATATTGCTGGAATATTGCTAAAAGCGGCGTAAAACTATATTCACTCACTCACACCCCGGTGGCTAATTACAGACATTCCGTAGAATTCCGAGACAGAAAGCTCATACCAATCCAAAGACTCACTTGTTTGAACTTATTATTAAATCAAATATACTTAAACAGCGTTTTCTACAAGTATACAGACAGACTCAGAAACAGCTGTGTATCTGCCAAATATTTAATACGCAACACAAGGAGATAAATACTCCAGACAGTGTTTGGTTTAAGAGTAATCCCCTAGACGATGTACTAAAACAACTACCGTCAGCACAATCATCCATAAGAATGAAAGGTATTTCAATACCCGCAAACATGTCCGTTAGGATGTTTCTCCGAACTCACAAAGGTTGGTAGTGTATGTGCACAACGTACAATGTAGACCCAACGCTTGTATAATTATAACAGTCGTTCAATGGCACTTCACCTACAGTTTCATCAAACATTCATTTTTTGTCCATTGAGGATAAGTGCACTCAGATTTGTTGAAATGGTCTTTGTAAAAACATGCATTTTTTACGCCAAGTGTAAACATAGATTGAATGGGCAAAAGTATTTACTTTGCCGCTTCCTAAACGTAGAACACGTATTCGTATTAGATAAAAAAATAATCTTCAAAATATTACTTGTGGACTGCTCGGGGCGCCTTACAATTGAATGAGTGTGAGTGAGTTTAATTTTACGCAGCTTTTAGCAATATTCCAGCAACATCACGGTGGGAGACACCAGAAATGGGCTTCACACATTGTACCTATGTAGGGATTCGAACCCGGGTCTTCGGCGTGACGAGCGAACGCTTTAACCACTAGGCTACCTCACCGCCCCCTTACAAACGAAATGATTGCTACCTGGGGAAGATTATATCGTATTTCAGATATTATCTGGAATTTGCTAACGTCTAAAACATAGATCATTTATTGTACACACATTAAAATTGTGAAGAACGAAGAAAATGTTTTGCAGTTTTGAGATTGTTATGGACATGTCTCCTTGGATGTTTTATGATGTAATTATTGAGGAGAACATATCAATAGTAATAATAATAATATGTGAACTCCCATATTCACTACTTCCATACACAAGGTGAATGCTCAAAGCGCTAACATTACCCCCGGTCAATAGCTCACCGTGCTCTACAACAGTCATATAACAATCTATTTACAACGGGTACCCGTTCACTACAATTCTGAACAGCTGTAACTTGCCTTAGGTGAGACCAAGTTTGTTACATGTGCTTCGCTACATGTACATGAATCTGTAACGTGAACTATATTTCATGTACATGCACCTTGAACATTACTTCATAAATACCCGGGACAGTGGGGTAGGCAAGTGGTGAAAGCGTTCGCTCGTCACGCCACACCGGGTTCGATTCTTCACATGGGTACAATGTGTTAAGCCCATTTCAGGTGTCCCCGCCATGATGTTGCTGGAATATTCCTAAAAGTGGTGTAAAACCATACTAACTCACTCACTTATTTCATATGCATGCACCTGTTACTTCATTTCATTCACATGCATATATAACTTAATTTCACAATGCAAAACCCTGAAATCACTTTTATCATTGATTTAGCTTTACACTTGCGTTATTTCATTTGAGACTGAAAATCCAAAACCACACTAAAAGCGTATTTTGTGACTGTCTACAACTTTAAAATTTCACCTTGACCGTTTTAATCTCACCACAAAAACACATCGTCATGCTACATGCTTTCGTCATCCCTTTAGGTTTCCAGTCACCTATTCAACCCATCACTAACACCATCTTCACGCCCGTGCTTCAGCCTATTATGACGAAAATTAACAAATAATTCGATCAATTAAACACCGATCTTTTAGCCTTAGAGTACCGCAAGTCGAAATCGTTAAGAGGTAACTTGAATTCTTCTGCCACGACGCTGTAGGTATCTAGCCTTGAACTCGGCGCAATTAGGAGTCCATTCAGCTAGAAGAAATAGTTTCCGTTTCAGTGGTTTAAAAACCTTCAAAACACATTTTCCTTTTGTAAAGAGGGCCGAGAGCAAGGATAATACCAAGCATGCACTGATGCTGCATGGGTCTGTCTTGTCAATAACGTTTATTCATGACAAGACACATAGCGTAACTCTACTGTGTGACTGGCATTTATACAATATAAAACTATTTATGTCTAAATGTCTATAGTCAAACACAGACTTGTGAAGAGCAGTTAGGGCCTGGGTAATTGGCGTGGACGTAAAGAGACGTACATGTAATTCAAGGCGACTCTGTTTTCGACAAGGGCACTGGTAAACACATGCCTACCTTTAACCACCTACCATGCGTAAATATTGCATCTTTAAACCGTCAGACTTCGCTGGACGTACACAGTGTCTCTTTCATAAAGTGACGTGCAGTTGTGACGGGTATATGTGACCGCGAACACACTCTGTTATGAGACAAAGTTTGCTATGTTCATCTTCGATTCAGTCGCCATTTAATATAGATATATATTTTATGCTTGTGCAGTTTTATTACTTCTTAGAAAATAACTCAGGTAATTAATAAAACCGGCAAAACTCTTTCCATAATCATTATACATCGTCTATTGTGTGTTTCCTACTATATTATGAACATGTGCTTGTGAATCATTATCAAATCGTAATGACGCCAAGATGCGGAAAGGTGACCGCTTGTTGCTCTGGTAGGGAGCATAGACACATGCAAAGCCTAGTTAACTGTTAAAAAGCACTGGGGCATATTCAACAGGTCAGAATAGGGTGCATTTCTATCAAATCGTATTGACGCCAGATGCGGAAAGGTGACCGCTTGTTGCTCTGGTAGGGAGCATAGACACATGCAAAGCTTAGTTAACTGTTAAAAAGCACTGGGGCATATTTAACAAGTCAAAAGGGTGCATTTCTCTCAAATCGTTGTGCATCTTTGCATCGGACATGATATGTGTCACAGATGCGTCAAATTTTGTGCATCTTTGCATCAAATTTGGAAATGTTCTCCACGTGTCTGCCATGAAACAGTGTGGAAGATTTACTATGGTTTTGAATGCTGTAATCTTGATCAAACAACTTTTGCGCAAGAGACCTAAGAGGCTCTTTAAAATCGACGAAAAAAGCGTGTTCGACTGTAACTCAAAAGTTGTGATGCGTAAAATATGTTTATTTTCTGTTCTTAATTATGTCCATAGTTTAGCGTTCTGTGATCATACTTCATCTTAACTTCGACCTCGGTAAATACGTTTCAGGTCCAAAAATTGGTATTGGCCTTGTTGGAAGTCTATAATAGTAGAGGACCTGGATCACCTCAGGTGGTCCTCATTCATTCGGCTGACACGCCTTGGTGTTAATGTGATACAGTTAACCCAGAACTTAGTCACTAACCCTATGGCTATCAGGGGCGTTGGGGTGGCCTAATGGTTACAGCGTTCGCTCGTCACGCCGAAGACCCGGGTTCGATTACCCACATGGGCACAATGTGTGAAGCCCATTTCTGGTGTCCCCGCTTTGATATTGCTGGAATATTGCTAAAAGCGGCGTAAAACTAAACTCACTCACTCCAACTGCACGTCTGTCAAACGTTTATCAGCCTCCTCCGTGTAGAGTATCTCTGGATAATGCATGTCGGTATCTCTGGGTTATGTGATCTCAGCATCTCTGGGTAATGTAATGTCAGCAGTGGTGTAAGTGGATGTCTACACGGCAGTAGAGCCTGTGATGCTGTGTGATGGAATACCTGAGCGTTTACCTTATCAGAATGATGGAGCCCCGTTTCGCGTCTGTTGGTGGGTTGGAGATTAAGGCTGGGAGTTTGCCAAACACGCAAGCAGGGGCGACCATGTCTAACGAAGACATTACACTTAGCTTTATTTTTAAAGTCCTGTCCTCCACATCCGACAAGCTACTTAACCAAGATTTACTTGTTGTTATGGTTTCAATAATTAAAGTTTCTCATTTAGAAATGTTCTCGTCCAAATCAAAAGTTCAAATTGAAGAGGAGCATTATTTTTTCATTTTGTAAAAATAGATTTAAAAAAAATGTATTATGGTATTTGTACTTTGAGTTGAAAAATAGCCTCCTGTAATATATCAACGATGTATGATAATTGTTTTCGAATGATAAACTGTGTATGTATCAGCAAAATTGAGAGAAAATGCAGCAGTGTAATGATGTGTGTTTGTTTTGCCTGATTTCAGCTAAAACTGCCTCCTTTTGTGGGTTTGAAGACCCTTATGACTGCGGCTTTATCCAGACCAACGACTCCGACGTCTTCAATTTGATATACTAGAGAGCCAAGGGGTTGATAACCCCTCGGGCAGCACCGGGCCTTCTAAAGATCACACCTGTGATGCGAACACACACCTGTAAAATGGGTAGGTAGGTTGATATACTAGATGTACATACCGCATAAAACACACCACTAAAGCCAACACGGGTAGGCAAGATATTAGTGTACCAAGACGTCTAAAACGCGAACACAGATAGGTTAATAACCCTTCCACATTCACAGATATTGAACTGAGTCCTCCTTGCCAATATACAGAGTTTGTAGACCACACGTGACACCAGCCACGTGCTAACGTGATGACCCGGATTGTACCTGTAAATGATTCACGATCCCTCACGCTGGCTAAATGAATATTCATGTTAAACCTTTGTCAGTGTGTTCAATGTGACTGAAGAAAATTCATGTTAAGCATTTGCCTATGTGGTTATTGGACTGAAGAAACTTCATTGTGAATGAACTTGAGGGAAGCAAATTCTCGGCTGTGTATATTCTCACGTGAACATGAAGATCTGATGTAAACAAACCTCTGAAAGTTGTAAAATCACTTGAAATGTAGCGAGTTCCCACCCATTTTGGAAGTTATCTTAAACTAACATATAAACAGGCCACATTGGTTTATATTAGGGCACTGAAGGGCCGTGTAACGTTGTGGCTGCACTAAATTATCGGCAGGGTTTCACGTGAATGGTCCGGTGAATGGGCATGTAGCCACATGTATGGACCCAGAAGTTGCCATGGGTTCCATGTATACTGATGGAAAGAACTAAGTGAACAGCCACAAGACTGACTGACTGACTGAGTTTGGTTTTACGCCGCTTTTAGCAATATTCCAGCAACATCACGGCGGGGGACACCAGAAATGGACTTCACACATTGTACCCATGTGGGGATTCGAACCCGGGTGTTCGGCGTGACGAGCCTACGCTTTAACCACTAGGCTACCCCACCGCCCCGAACAGCCACAAGAGGAAGCAAGTGTTGACATGACCTTTCGTAACACGGCCATAGTTATTGACTGAGTGAGTGAGTGAGTTAGTGGGGTATAATGCCAGTTTGAATGGTTACATCATGTCATGAACATTCATAAGCACATGCAAGTGTCGTTAAACCCACAAGAACGTGCAGGAACAGAACCCCCAAACCAAGATAGAAGTCAGGAAGAACATTGTTGCAGTAAGAAGATAAAAACACCCAGAACAGAAACTACACATTTAAACGAATAACTTTCCTCAAAGCATAGCTTCTGTCCCAGTGCTATAGTATGGCGTCATATCTGACCATATTGCTACGTGACGTCATATCTGCCTAATTGTTACAATATGACGTCACATCACCTGTGCAATTTAATATTTTCATATCATATGGGAACAATGTGACGTCATATAATCTGTGTATATTACCACGACCTGGCGTCTTATATCCACTTTATTACAATATGACGTCATCATAGCACGCTGCTCCAATATGACGTGATACCGTATTCCTATATTGCTACAACATAACGTGACACCATGTTTCCATACAGCTACAATACGACCATATAATCCTAGAGTTTTGTATCAGTTCATCTTGTATCAACTTCATATCATTTGTCATACTTCAGGTCATTTCATGTACATCGAGGCGTCCGCCAAGGCAAGAGGAAACAACGCCATCATTTTCTCCCCGCTATACCGCGGCATGGAGCAGCAGTGTGTGGGCTTCCATTACCACATGTACGGTAGACACGTCGGCACACTCAACGTCTACGCAAAGGTACGTGACGTGAACGATATCAAAAGTCATTTATCCGATATATCTTGAAACAATCTCCTAGTCCTCCTTCTAGAACCGCCGCCTCCGTGGTGTAGTGGTTAGAGCGTCCGCCAGGAGAGCGGAAGGTGGCGGGTTCGTTCCCAGACCGCGTCATATCAAAAGACGTTATTATGGTACTTGTTGGTCGCTGCCTGGCGCTCGGCATTAATGGGTACAACAAGGACTGGTCGGCTCGGAGTCAGTATAATGTGTCTGAGTGGGGTATTCATGCTTCACTGCGGCATGGTATCTCAGTGGGCTAGCACTATAAAACCAGCTTAAGTCTGGGCTAGTACAAGCAGCCGCGCATACACATACTTACGCATGCACGTCGTCATATGAGCGAAATATTCTCAAGCACGACGTTAAAACCCAATTTCACCTCACCTCACCTCACCTTCAAATGATAATAACAATGATGATGCAATATCAAAACAATATTGATAATCACAATAGTTATTATATACGTAATTTCTCTCCTATCCCTTTGATTCTAGCCAGCGGATACACATTATATACCCATGTAACTGATTTAAGGGAATTGAAGAATCTAGTGTGCTCATGTTATAGCAAAGACGGTAGAATCCATAAAACTTCTTGTTGATATCCTTTAATGGAATATTTCTCGACTATTTACGTTGCCATGTTTCCCATGTCTGTGTGTACAATAAAACAAAGACAGAATAACGGCCCTGACCGGGTCTCCTAGCAACCTGTAACAATGTGGTGAAGGAGGATATAGAACAGAAGGAAAATGTGCTCCTGTGCAGATATTGAAAAGAAACCCTTTAGAATCCGTAGAATCGATCTGAATCACTGTCTGGGAAACTATGATGTCATCGCCGCTCCAAAATTGGAAAGAAATGTTATAAATGTTGGTTTTCTGAATGTGAAATTAAAAGTCCCAAAATTATTGATAAAATAGAATATTCAAACGTTGAAATATGACAGTCCTCGCGGACAAAGACATACTCTACTATTCTGGGCCTAGATTTTCGAAGCTCTCTTAGCGCTAAGATAGTCGTAAGTTAATGTTAATGTATGGCACTTACGACTATCTTAGCGCTAAGAGAGCTTCGAAAATCTAGGCCCAGGTCCTTTGCCCGTGTACAATGCGTAACCTGTTTGGGTAGAATGACAACATGCAATTATGCACATATTACTTACATAGCGTGTAATAATACTCCGCCAATATATTTCAGTTAATTCAAATGTTTAGAAAGGAAAAGCTCTCTTGTTATTTCTGTGTATGAAGGTAGTAGTTATGAGTTGTTTGTTTATTGTTAGTGTGGTGAGGTGAGGTGAGGTGAGGTGAGGTGAGGTGAGGTGAAATTGGGTTTAACGTCGTGCTTGATAATATTTTGCTCATATGACGACGTGCATGCGTGTAGTATGTGTATGTGCGGCTGCTTGTACTAGCCCAGACTTAAGCTGGTTTTATAGTGCTAGCCCACTGAGATACCATGCCGCAGTGAAGCATGAATACCCCACTCAGACACATTATACTGACTCCGAGCCGACCAGTCCTTGTTGTACCCATTAATGCCGAGCGCCAGGCAGGGACCAACAAGTACCATATTTTAACGTCTTTTGGTATGACGCGGTCGGGGATCGAACCCGCGACCTTCCGCTCTCCTGGCGGACGCTCTAACCACTACACCACGGAGGCGGTTGTTAGTGTGGTAGTCCCATGCTGTCGGTGGTGTGACGATGTAGTCACGTTGTAGTGCCTGTGACAGCTGTACCTACCTAAATCCAGTGACGTATGTTGTGTATAACACTATTGACAGCACACTGTCTCCTGTAGGCAGACATACAGCTGAACACCATACACACATACAGTCACACAGGCGCTAGTCTGTACTGTCAATGTACAATTTACATATGCTAAATTTTTCTTCATACGTTATATTGAATGGACTTTACAGTGCTTGTCATGTGCAGTTAAAAGGCTGTATACACAGGTGAAGTATCGATATTCTGGCATTTAAAACCCACCGGGTGTCACGTATTCGTTTAAAGGAAGAACGCTGAATACTGCATGGAATTTACAAGAGCTTGTTCTTGGCCTCGATACCGCAAGGGTGTGGGGCACACACGTTGAATGGGGAATGTTAAGGTTGAGATTCCGTGTTGGAATTTCTTGTATGTTTTGAATTGATCATTATAATTCTTGTACTGAAAGGCCGACAGACATACGAAGCTCTTCCCTGAACTGAAATTGTTTTTAATATCCCACTGCTCCGGGCGGACTTTGCGGTTTAAGCATGTGCGTCTCTTTATGGCAAAGGTGAAAGACGTTCCTTGATATGAATTAAATACTTACTTTCCCTTCACTATCTGGCTTCTGTCCGGATTACAAAATCACCCATTGCTGTACAGGTACAGTGTTGAATGTATAGCGCATATTGGAAAGTCCTCTGTAAATGTTAGCGCGACTACTTTTTCTCCGGAAGTGAATAATTATTGATGTCAGCATCTTTAACACCGCGGCAGTAGTGTATAGTACACCTCGTGTATCCGACTTAGGTGCTGAGATTTGTTTCTGATTGTCATAAGGGCGCATATAAGGCGTAGAAAATGTTAACAATATCGTGCATTATCTTGATATGTAAACACACGCACACACCCCACACCCCTAAAATGAAGAAAAAATATGTAAAAAGTAAAAGAAAAAGTAAAAAAGTAAAATAAATACAAATATAAAGCTAAAAAGGCACCACACCTTCTCGAATTAAAATACAGAAAAGAAATCTCTCAAAGTTAACAAAAAACATCAACCAAGAAGGGCACCTGCCTCCATTCCCAACCATCCCCATCTCACAAGCACACAATCCATCCCCTCCCATACAAACGGAATCCGGGTGGTCAGGCTCGCTGACTTTGTTGACACAGGTCATCGTATCCTCAATTGCGCAGATCGATGCTCATGCTGTTGATCACTGGATTCTCTGGTCCAGACTGCAGCGTTAAACAACAAACCAACCAGCCAACAGAACACTAAACGAAAAGGAAAAACCCACATGCAAGAAACAAAACAACAAAAACCAAAAACCCTAAACAAACAAAAACTATGGACATTTTGTGTTTATATGTCCTCTGACCCCTCTGTTACAGGCACGGGGATTCCAGGTGACATCCGTGTGGCGAGCGTTTGGTAACCAAGGTGACTGGTGGATCATCGCGAGACTCGCCATTCCAAGACAGCTGGCCCGGGCGGGATACCAGGTACTCATCTCGTCATACAGCTGATCACGTCTTGCAGAAATACATTTATGTCCTCAGCTTCAACCGTATGCGAGTCCGTGGATACACTCACACATGCTTCAGTCATTTCCTAATTGGGTATCACTAGGCCTATCTATATATGTGCGGGTATACCGAATGTTTGGGTACATTGTATACATCGTAAGGAGCTATACAAAACTATAAAGAGCATTTTATGTTGAGTATCTGGACCTATACTAATAAGTGAGAGCAGTAGCGTACGGTTACTGGGACAGTGGGTAGAGTGTCTGGATCTCTGCTGAACACAGAGGGCATCCGGTACTGTATATTGACTTATACTAAACATAGATGACTTTTAATGCAGTATATTGAGCTATGCTAAACATAAAGTACATTGAGTACAGTATATTGACGTATGCTAAATATTGAGGGCATTGGGTACAGTATATTGACGTATGCTAAATATTGAGGACATTGGGTACAGTATATTGACATATACTAAACATAAAGGGCATCCGGTACTGTATACTAGTATTGACTTATACTAAACATAGATGACATTAAATGCAGTATATTGAGTTATGCTAAACATAAAGGACATTGGGTACAGTATATTTACTTATACTAAACACAGAGGGCATTAGGTACAATATGTTGGCTTATGCTAAACAAAGAGGGCATTAGCTACAGTATATCGACTTACGCTAAACATAGAGTTCAAAATATTGACTTATACTAGGGACAGGCGTTAGGGACAGTATATTGACTTTATACTAAGCATAAAGGGCAGTTGGTACAGTACTGGACCCATACTAAACATGGAGGACCTTGGGTACACTATCTGGACCTATACAAAATATAGAGGACATTGGGTACAGTGTCTGGACCTATACTAAACATAGAGGACATTGGGTACACTATCTGGACCTATACAAAATATAGAGGACATTGGGTACAGTGTCTGGTACCTATATACTAAACATGAGAGGACATTGGGTACACTATCTGGACCTATACTAAATATAGAGGACATTGGGTACAGTGTCTGGACCTATACTAAACATAGAGGACATTGGGTACTGTATCTGGATTGATACAAACTATAGAGGACATTGGGTACAGTATACTGACATACTAAACATAGAGGACATTGGGTACAGTGTCTGACCTATACTCAAACATAGAGGACATTGGGTACAGTGTATGGACCATACTAAACATAGAGGACATCCGGTACTGTATACTAGACCTATACTAAATATAGAGGGCATCCGGTACTGTATACTATCTGACCTATACTAAACATAGAGGGACATTGGGTACAATATGTGGATCTATACTAAATATAGAGGACATTGGGTACTGTGGATACTAGTATTGACATTAGTATATGTGGATCTATACAACATAGAGGGCATCCGGTACAATATGTGTATACAAAATATAGAGGACTAGTATTGACTTATACTAAACATAGAGGACATCCGGTGGGTATACTAGTATTGACTTATACTAAACATAGAGGGCATCCGGTACTGTATACTAGTATTGACTTATACTAAACATAGGGCATCGGTACTGTATACTAGTATTGACTTATACTAAACATAGAGGGCATCCGGTACTGTATACTAGTATTGACTTATACTAAACATAGAGGGCATCCGGTACTGTATACTAGTATTGACTTATACTAAACATAGAGGTATACTAGTATTGACTTACTACTAAACATAGAGGGCATCCGGTACTGTATACTAGTATTGACTTATACTAAACATAGAGGGCATCCGGTACTGTATACTAGTATTGACTTATACTAAACATAGAGGGCATCGGTACTGTATACTAGTATTGACTTATACTAAACATAGAGGGCATCCGGTACTGTATACTAGTATTGACTTATACTAAACATAGAGGGCATCCGGTACTGTATACTAGTATTGACTTATACTAAACATAGAGGGCATCCGGTACTGTATACTAGTATTGACTTATACTAAACATAGAGGGCATCCGGTACTGTATACTAGTATACTAGTATTGACTTATACTAAACATAGAGGGAGCATCCGGTACTGTATACTAGTATTGACTTATACTAAACATAGAGGGCATCCGGTACTGTATACTAGTATTGACTTATACTAAACATAGAGGGCATCCGGTACTGTATACTAGTATTGACTTATACTAAACATAGAGGGCATCCGGTACTGTATACTAGTATTGACATATACTAAACATAGAGGGCATCCGGTACTGTATACTAGTATTGACATATACTAAACATAGAGGGCATCCGGTACTGTATTGACTTATACTAAACATAGAGGGCATCCGGTACTGTATACTAGTATTGACTTATACTAAACATAGAGGGCATCCGGTACTGTATACTAGTATTGACTTATACTAAAACATAGAGGGCATCCGGTACTGTATACTAGTATTGACATATACTAAACATAGAGGGCATCCGGTACTGTATACTAGTATTGACTTATACTAAACATAGAGGGCATCCGGTACTGTATACTAGTATTGACTTATACTAAACATAGATGGCATTAAGACCTATACAAAACATAGAGGGCATCCGGTACTGTATATGGACTTATACTAAACATAGAGGACTTTTAATGTAGTATATTGAGCTATACTAAACATAGAGGACATTGAGTACAGTATATTGACGTATACTAAACATTGAGGGTATTGGGTACAATATACCTATATTGACGTACAGTATATGCTAAATATTGAGGACATTGGGTACAGTATCTACAATAAATATAGGACATTGGGTACAGTACATATACTAAACATAAAGGGCATCCGGTACTGTATACTAGTATTGACTTATACTAAACATAGATGACATTAAATGCAGTATATTGAGTTATGCTAAACATAAAGGACATTGGGTACAGTATATTTACTTATACTAAACACAGAGGGCATTAGGTACAATATGTTGGCTTATGCTAAACAAAGAGGGCATTAGCTACAGTATATCGACTTACGCTAAACATAGAGTTCAAAATATTGACTTATACTAGGGACAGGCGTTAGGGACAGTATATTGACTTATACTAAGCATAAGGGCAGTTGGTACAGTGACTGGACCTATACTAAACATGGAGGACCTTGGGTACACTATCTGGACCTATACAAAATATAGAGGACATTGGGTACAGTGTCTGGATCTATACTAAACATAGAGGACATTGGGTACAATATCTGGATCTATACAAACTATAGAGGACATTGGGTACAGTGTCTGGACCTATACTAAACATGGAGGACATTGGGTACAATATCTGGATCTATACAAAATATAGAGGACATTGGGTACAATATCTGGATCTATACAAACTATAGAGGACATTGGGTACAGTGTCTGGACCTATACAAAATATTGAGGACATTGGGTACAGTGTCTGGACCTATACTAAACATGGAGGACCTTGGGTACACTATCTGGACCTATACAAAATATAGAGGACATTGGGTACAGTGTCTGGACCTATACTAAACATGGAGGACCTTGGGTACACTATCTGGACCTATACAAAATATAGAGGACATTGGGTACAGTATCTGGACCTATACACAATATAGAGGACATTGGGTACAATATGTGGATCTATACTAAACATAGAGGACATTGGGTACAATATGTGGATCTATACAAACTATAGAGGACATTGGGTACAGTGTCTGGACCTATACTAAACATGGAGGACATTGGGTACAATATCTGGATCTATACAAAATATAGAGGACATTGGGTACAGTGTCTGGACCTATACTAAACATGGAGGACCTTGGGTACAATATCTGGATCTATACAAAATATAGAGGACATTGGGTACATTATTTTGATATATATTAAATGCAGAAAACTATGAAAATCTCCCCGACTGTTTCACAGATCGCCTTCGAAGGTATCACCGAGAAAGGCTACCAAGGCGACATCGCCATTGACGACATCTCCGTCGAAGACGGTCCATGCCCAGTCGACTCCAACGCTGTGGCCGTCGTCGTAAAGGTGGACACGTCACAACTGGACAAAGATTCGATGAAGTTGACGAGGAGGTCGAGGAAGGGGAGGAAGAAGAACAAGAAGGGAAAGAAGAAGGGGAAGAAAAGGATATCAAGCGAACAAAATAAGTCTTAAATCTCGAACCTGTGTTAGAAGTGGTTGACAGTGCGAAGACGTTAAACATGTGGCGATTGTGCTGTTTCATGTTGATTTAGACCGACGTCGAACTGATGTATCGTGGAATAAACACCGGCCTACTGGCTATATTCGGACATGTTTGTGAGCTTCATTTCCATATGAAATGTACCAACACTATGTGTTGACTGAAATCAATTACCAGGACGTGACGAACACAGAGTGTGAAGGATATACATTGATACCAGTGAATGTTCAAGGGTCATTGAGAGTCTGTGCTGAACAGTGTGAACAGTTGACAAGCAGTTTTGGGTTGGTTTCATGGAGGATTGAATCTATTAACAGTTCTTATTGGAATGTATACTATTGTCAAATGTACTGTCAACAATGTTCTGGTGAAATTATTCGAGTTATCCGACGTTCGATACAACCGAAGGAATACGCTTCGAGAAAACAATGTTCGACACAAGGGTATTAGACTGTACACGAGTCGACCAATGTGACATTAGATGATGTTTAACGCAGCTTGAAGAGTCTCACGCATATGTTATGAGTGATTCAACTATGATGGACTGGTTGCCTTAACGGTGTAAACTTCTGGGCGTTTTTCGTTTTTGTGTTCATGCATTTCTTTTAAAGACAGCTGCTGTGATTGCGTTAGCAGACTCATTCCGTAATGGCCGCAGATGGTGGACTGGTACCATGGTGTCTGTCTCCGACAAGCGGAAATGATTCACCAATGGGTGTTTTCAACACATTTCACCCTCGTGGTTATCTCATTACACATGCTTCTTAGGAATTTGGTAAATTTAGGCTTTCGAGTTTTGCTTGAGGAGACACAGAGAGCTTGTGCTTTTTTTGTGGCTTGGTGGTCAGTGATTATTGTAAGTTCAAATCTTAGGGTTGTAGTTACAGTCCGTATGATTTCATTTGAGGCCGATAAATTGAAGGTAATCAACAAGCGGGTGTAGTGAAATTTCAATTTCACACGTGCAACTCACACACCTGGCTGTTCTAGCAGCAAACGGTCCCCTCTCGTAAAAAATAGCGAAAAGTGACCACAAAATAATGATCGTTTGTTAAACAACTTTTTTATTCGGGTGCCCAAAATTATAAGACAAATCATCAGAGTTGGTCGGTCGATTTCATGTGACTGTGCAAAATTTGGTTTTGTTGCAGTTATTAAATTTTGTGTTAGTGCGCAATTCATCGGTATCAAATGAAATCCAACGAACTGTACATGTCACACGCGTGTCGTCGCATTTATCTCCTATTTGAAACAGTAGGAACAAGACGAACTGGAATGAAACGTTACTTGTATTTTAGTCTCAATTATACCCGATAGAAATTGTATCATAGTCTCGCATATATATGACCATTACATATATTTTAACTTAAGTCAATATCGTTATTATTCAAGCTATATTCAATAAGTGTAATAACGAACTTAATTTAAGACATCAGAAAATCATTTTTATAACCGACAGTTTGATTCAAAAAGGTCATTATGCTTTTTCCAGTGATGACGTTTTTGACAGTTGATATGCGTGACATTTTATTGATGAAAATAGCACTGCGAATTGTCTATAATGCCCATGTTGAGATAGAAACCAATAGTTTAAAGTAAACGTTCAACTATATAAAAATATAACTTTAAAGTTTCTATAACCACGTCTGTACCTCAGATATATAAATGTCAAATAATTCATAATCAAATATTAACGGATCGTATAAGCGTCAAATACTAACCAACCTTGATCATTGACCGTCTATCCACCTCTGACGTGTTTACATAAACCAAGATGATCAATAAAGGCGTACATGTGTTTTATTCAAACGTATTCTATTTAAACAATCCAACTCAAAGTAAGAATAGACTATTGGTGCTACAACGTATTCTGTAAATAATATGCTACAATGTATTCCTTGATTGTGCATTGATGTACATAACTGTTTCAACGTAAAATATTATTCATTACATTTGGGCATATTGTTGTAGCATGTTCAGAAACAATAAAGCTGTTCGATACAATTTTTATAAGATTGATTTGTTTGAGAGGCGAGAAATACATACAAGGTCAATCAACGTAGACACCCGTTACTGAGTGAGTGCGTGAGTGAGTTTAGTTTAACGCCGCACTCAGAAATATTCCAGCTATATGGCGGCGGTGTGTAAATATTCGAGTCTGAACCAGACAATCCAGTGATCAACAACATGAGCATCGATATGCGCAGTTGGGAACCGATGACACATGTCAACCAAGTCAGCGAACCTGACCACCCGATCCTGTTCGTCGCCTCCTACGACAAGAATGGGTTACTGAAGGTTCATTCTAACCCGGATCTTCACGGGTCGCCTCCTACGACAAGCATGGGTTACTGAAGATCAATTCTAACCCGGATCTTCACGGGTGTGCCCTGCCCAGAGGTTGTGTGGTAGCGTAGTGGGTCAAGCGTTCGCTATAAACTCCAAAGTTAGGGTTGCTTCCCTGCATGTGAAATATATCTCTGATGTCCTCGTTGATAAGTGGCTGGAATGTTTCTTATGTGGGGCAGTCACTCACTCATTATCCAGAAGAACGGGTATGGCCACCAGACGGCACGGATGACAGGAAAACTAGTCCAGAATTAGTGCGTGTTGCAAAACGAATTTTTGTTTTGGTATTTATTTTCAATTTTCGTTTTTAAATGTCAACAGATTGTGAAAATCAGCTGTTTTTCTATATAATTGGGGTGTATTGTACTTAGGCAATATCTTAAGTATAATTGGAAAGGTTAAACCAGTCAAAGAAAAGAAGGCGGTGGGGTAGCCTAATGGTTAAAGCGTTCGCTCGTCACGCCGAAGACCCGGGTTCGATTCCCCGCATGGGTACAATGTGTGAAGCCCATTTCTGGTGTCCCCGCCGTGATATTGCTGGAATATTGCTAAAAGCGGCGTAAAACCATACTCACTCACTCACTCAAAGAAAAGAAAAACATCTACTCGTAATTGCTTACCGGCAAGGATTGATGCACGCATTTCTTATTCTTATTTCTAACCAGGACCTTCATGGGTCATCCGTTACTGAATGTACTGTTTGTTTTGGATCTTCAGTTCGTAATTTCTCGTTCCTTGTTCACAGTATGTAATTTTACGGTAGTTGGTTTCTGCACATCTCGGAATCTACAAACCATTTCTATCCCGGTAAGAATTTAAACGCCTGGACAAGATTATTCTGTTCCTCCCTGAATTCCACGAGCGTGCAAGACTTGTTCCGGAATGACACGAATGTGCACGACTGTAGTGCTTGTTCCGTAATGACACGAATGTGCACGAGAGTTCTACTTCTCCCTGAATGACACGAATGTGCACGACTGCTTTACTTGTTCCGGAATGACACGAATGTGCACGACTGTTTTGCTTGTTCCGGAATGACACGAATGTGCACGACTGTAGTGCTTGTTCCGTAATGACACGAATGTGCACGAGAGTTCTACTTCTCCCTGAATGACACGAATGTGCACGAGAGTTCTACTTCTCCCGGAATGACACGAATGTGCACGAGAGTTCTACTTCCCCTGAATGACACGAATGTGCACGAGAGTTCTGTTCTTGTTCCACGAATGACACGAATGTTCCGGAATGACACGAATGTGCACGACTATTACTTGTCCCGGAATGACACGATTGTGCACGACTGTTCTGTCTGTCCTGGCAAAACATACCTGGGCACGAATCCTTGTCTGGAACACCCCAGCGTACGGCTGAGTAATGCTGTTTTACGGTTGTAAATGAGAAGGCCATTAAGCCCTGATGCTATCGTGAGGCTTGTCCCAGGCCCGGGAATACAGCCGAATCTGTGTGTAGAACCTACAATCAGTGGATCCTGGCGATAGGGACACAACTCATCACAGTGAATCCTGGCTCCTTAGACGTGGAGGTGTGATTTCACGTTACCTCTACTTCTCAATGGTGTGAGAGACAGGTAGAATTAATTCTTGCTTCGATGAGGATTTAGCTTCAACACTAAACGACCGCCACACCAAACAACTAGCTTTAAACATTGATTGAAAGACGAAACGTTTCTATATACGAACTAAAGTAACTTGCGCGTAAAAACATCTTTCATTAACAAAGACACAATATGACCCATGGTTCCTATAAAAAAACAACTTGCATAACGGAGGCAGATAATCTGGGCTATGTGCGGAGGTAATATGTTGAAGACATTGACATGTCATCGTGATCTGCCTCTTCAGTCTAGGAACATTCTTGGCTTAACTGCTTAAGGACATTCCCGGTGTGTTTACAATCTGTTGGAGTCAGCGACCCTTCAATACAACCGTGTCCTTGGACATTTGCTGGGAAACCGGTACCACAAATATGTTTACACACGCAATACTTGCAGCAGGGTCATTAAATGCTTTGATGAGCGACAAGACAAGAACCGTAAAGAATGATGTCTCCTAGGACCTATATACGTCTCCGCCTCCGGGCCGAAACAAGCGGACGCTGAGGTATGTCTCGCGTTAGGTTTGTTACACCGTCGTGATGGTGCGACAGCCTCGGGTGCCAACGGTGGAGCAGGAAACGCTGTGGTATCTTCTATGTTTGGTTGTCAGTGAGATACACATGCTTATGAGTCAGTTTTGTTGGAGTCGTGTAGTGCACAGTGCTTTTGAGAACATCTTGTTTTTATTTATTCTGATTAAAAACACTTTTGTGGAGAAAAAAGGAATGTCATCGGATCCGTACATTTCATCCTTAACATGAGCAAAACTACAACTAAATCATTTGTTGATATGCTTCAACAACGTTATTTGTTTGCATTCACACCCCATCCCCACTTTGACAGACATGGAAAATGGATGGATGGATGGTTCGATGGGCGGGTGGTTGGTTGGACGGATGGATGGATCGGTGGGTAGTTGGATGGATGGATGGATGGATCGGTGTATGTATGTATGTATGTATGTATGTATGTATGTATGTATGTATGTATGTATGTATGTATGTATGTATGTATGTATGTATGTATGTATGTATGTATGTATGCATGTATGCATGCATGTATGAATGGATGGATGGGTTTGGGGTATGTATGTATGCATGTATGCATGCATGCATGTATGTATGTATGTATGGATTGATGGATGGATGGTGGGTGGATGGATGGTGGGTGGATGGATGGATCGGTGGGTGGTTGAATGGATGGATGGATCGGTGGGTGGATGGATGGATGGATGGATGGTGGGTGTATGGTATGTATGTATGGTGGATGGATGGTGTATGTATGCATGCATGCATGCATGGATGGATGTATGTATGGTATGTATGTGGTATGTATGGATGGATGGATGGGTGATGGTGGTTGGATGGATGGATGGATGGGTGGTGGATGGTGGGTGGATGGATGGATCGGTGGGTGGTTGAATGGATGGATGGATCGGTGGGTGGTTGGATGGATGGATCGGTGGTGGGTGGGTGGAGTATGCATGTATGGATGGATGGTGGGTGGATGCATGGATGCATGTATGTATGTATGCATGTATGCAGTGTGTGCGTGTGAGATAAATTTTAAATTCTTAACTCAACTTCCTGCATGCATGCACGAACGCATCTTTTTCAAATAAATTTAATAGAGAGCATTCACTTTTCATAGTGACTATGAGAAGGCAGTCAAGCAAACGTGACACACTCGACAACCGCACCACCGGCTCTGTAAGTTATTGCCGAGTTAGTTCGCTTGACAAAAGAATATCTTTGAGGTTGACAACATTTTTGCACTTAAGTAAGTTTTTTGGGTGGGCCTCTGTCTCGTTTTTATCCAACGTTGAACTTTTGAACTGTTTCCCTTCTTTGATATGAGCTGAAGGGGCAACATCAAAGTGACGCATGCGCAGCTATGACGAACCAATGGGCAGGGGTAATGCAGTTACAAAACATGGTTCATATGCGCGGCGAATCTGGTATTTACTTGAAGATGTGGCACTTTCAGTCGAAATGCTTGTAACGACCTACGGTTATAACGAACTAATATTAGCG